TATAGTTATCTGATAATTAATCTTGAAAATGACGTGTATTAATCTTCCAAAAAGTAACAAAAAAGTTTTGTAAGTACAACTGTTTCAAGTATTTTACTCTTTTGATCTATAGATATATCCATAAAGTTACTTACATCAGCCGTGTAAACACCACCAGGAACTGGCTGACCACCAAAAGTGATACAGATCATGTACTCCCCAACTTCTTTCACGGTGTAGTAAATGGAGAACGTACCATCACCATTGTCTTCCACTTCAATATCTGCATCAGAAACAGAGTCTGATGTACTGGAGATATGACAGTTGACAGCACCCTTTCCTGCTTGTTCTGCATTCACTGTGATGCAGTATTCTTCTCCAATTGCTATCTTTTCTTGTACACCCTCTAGTAAAGAAAATACAAATATATGAAATTTAATAACAATAATAATTATTCATTCATATTTTCATGTTTGATGAATGTATTGTCAGAGTTTTGTAAACTGAAAATGTTCCAAGACAACATGAAACTAAAGTTGTATATAAAATCAACTTACAGACATAATCATGAACTACAGCACTAATGTTTAATGATCCAGAACTTTCTATAGGGATCAAAAGTTTCATTAAACTGACATCATAACAAAAAATTATCAAAAAACTTGAAATTCAATAAGTACTAATAACTCGGGGGGGGGGATAGTGATTTTGATTACAGTTTTAAACATATAGTAAAAATACATACTGAATTATAAAACATGTACACACACACACACATATATATATTTCAAATGCAAGTAACTAACCTGTGATACGACATTTCTCTGCTTGACCAACTGGGTAACTATTGACTAGGAATGGAGAATTAGGAACCTCTTGACCACCATAGAAAACTGAAACTTGATATTCACCCAAATCATCAGGCACATAGCTGACACTGTATGTCCCATCATTGTTGTTTGTTAGCTTAGTTTTCCTTTTTTTACCATCTGGTCCCTTAAGTATAGATAGAAACTGATTAAATACCATTATTATTTTATATTTTCAAACTTCTCATATGTCATTTTACTGTTTTGCTCACTCATGAAGTATTACCACAAGGTTTATACATGTTTTCTTTAGCAGAGAACAATGGTTTTTCTAGTGCATAACAATGTGGGTTATGTTTTATGATATCCTAAAGATAAAAGCATAGGCTTGTTTTAAACTTATTTCAATTGGTTTTCAAATTGAAGCACAAGACTGAAGGATTTACAAGCGTAAAGGCTAGAAATCGTTTTCAAAAAACCTATTTGTTTGTCTATAAATCGTGAAAGATCTTGTTTTCAACTTAAGGATACACATGTCAGAGATTATCAAACTGAGACATAGAATGCAATAATATACAAGTACATGGTATGATGCTAAAAGATGACATCACTTTTGAATTATCATCATTCTTATATATGTAAACATACAGAACAAGGTTACACTTAAATATGAATTACCGGCACTTGTGTAATACTTAAATTATAATAAATAATTAAAAACAATGTTTCCTATTTGCAAAATTTAAAACTATATTGAAGTAGGTTAGAAAAGTTTACTTATATATTTTTAAAAACCACAAAGAGTTGATGAGACTGAATTCAGTGGATTGGGAGGGCTACAGAGGGTGTCATACAATTTCCAACATTCAAGTTAGAAAAAAAAAGTACTCTGATAAAGTGCTTGATAAAAACACCTCACTTTTCAAACATATTACAGCTGGCCACAAACATACGAAGTTTAAAAGTGTTCACATTCAGGCAGGTATGAAACTTAGCCACCTTACAGTGGCAAGTACACTTGACCGAGTCTTCCTTATCAACATAACTAAAAAAAAAACATGCAATAAACAGCTTCAGAGCTGATGAATAAGATCTTGTATTGAACAACATATGCAGCCACAACCATGCATTATGTGTAATTTTGGATTGAGAGTTATCGGTTTTATTCCCTCATCTCCTGGAAATATGGCTATGCTGGAGAGCAATTAAGAAATTTCATATTGCAAGGATTTCAAATCTATGTTCAGAATTAAAACGAGTACAAAAAAAAGCTTTGTTTGGAAATCAACCTACCAAGCACGTCTCCCTGACTCTTCAACTGGATGTTAAAAATATTCCCTTAAAACAAAGATAAAGTATTAACTCAGAACTACATGTATTTCCTTTCACTTAGAGTAACTTGAAAGCTGAAATAAAACTTTGAATTTTACCTTAACGTAAACTTCTGGCTCAGCAAACCCTGCTTTTTTTGTGTCAATAGTAAATTCTGTTGGTAAACTAGCAGGTACACCTTTCTTGTCAACTCCAGCACCATAAACCTGGACTTTTTCAGGTTCATAGGTTGGTTTAACGAGCATTTGGAATGGACTGATAAGAAAACAAATTTTCCGTAAATAAATATTCCAAAGATGAAACATTTTCTGTAACAACCGTGAATCTGGGTTTACTTCTATAACTATTGGTGATTTTTTACTTTGTTTAAGGGATGTGAAATTCACCAGAATAATGAAATACAATCAAAATCTGACTGATGATGAAATATGTGAAACTGTACAAACACTAGTAGCACAATTATAAAAACATGCAAACTCCAAGTACATTGAGACTTCCACGGCATACAAGAATAAACTAAGAATAAGGTTTGTATAATGGTCTTGTTGTTATTATTATTATTATAATACAAAAAAAAGTTTAACACATTCATACAAGTGATCCAAAAGAAGAAGAAGAAGCAATCCTAACTATGTTTCGAGACACGCGTTGATAATGTTGAAAAGACAATACTTAAACATAATAGCAATTTAATATAAAACAGACTATGCATTGATAGGGATCTCAGAAAATAATGAATAAAAATATATAATAGAGAAATGATATTAATACTAGTAAGCTACAAAATAGTAATGTCTTAATTTATATATATAAATGTTACATCATAACTTAAATATAATGTTGTAATTTAAATTCATTGTATAATGCTATTTTTGTGTTGCAGATAAAATAAACATAAAATGTCATTAAAAATTGGGCTCATGACTAACCGAAAGTCTCAGTAATGCAATTTAGTAATGGTTTTTATATTTATTTTTGGAGAAGAAGAGAAAAAAAAATATTTTGATGGACTAACCTTCCTTCAATGTCTTGACCTCCATATGTGACTTTGAGGTTACACAAACTATTTTCTGGAGGAGCAAAATAGGTCACATCATACAAACTATCTCCTCTGTCTTTAATCTCTGGCTTCTTTGGCATAGCACCTGACAAAACCAGAAATAATATAAATTTGAAAATGAAAATTATGCCTCTGTTATCATGATGGATAATGCCTGTGGTCATGGTACCCAAAGGTGTTTGGGGACATTCCATCTATCAGGCAAATCCAAACATCGATGTAAAACTTCCCAGTAACTAAGGAGAATCAGTTGAAGGTCAGTAATTGAGTGCTTAAATCCACAATATCTCAACTCCAACTGTCTTTCATTGTCTGTAGCCAGTTGTGGGAAAACACACACTGGAAATAAGAATTACTACTAGTTTTAAATGATGTAGGTTGGTTAGCAATTTTATTATGAAATCAAACAAAGCAATAATGTTGAGTAATTTTTTTTCCTACAAAAGCAATTAGAAATGCAAGGACTGCTCTTATGGGCCTTCATACATTCTCTCTCTCTCTCTCTTTTTTTGAGAGAGAGAGAGAGAGAGAGAGAAAGTTTACTTTTATGACATTTTTTCAGTTGCTACCAGATTTGTATTTTGCATGACAATTTAATATTTTTTTTAGCAATCCTATACAGCTTCTCAATAAGAATAATATAACGGCATTACAATCATACAAAAGGCCAATGACATATTTAACTCAACAGCAGAATTTATCAGATTGACTGGGCATGGTATTTATGAAGTAGAACTTAAGAATCTAGCCTTAAAAATAAGTTTTGACACTAGAACACTGGCAATTTTTTTAGGATTGTGACTTGTTTCACACAACTTGAATACACAAAATGGATAGTTAGATAGCAAACTTTAATGAATATGCTGTGCAGTTATTTCACTGCTGAGATGTAAACACAAATGTTTCTGCTGTGCCTTGCTGGTTCATCATGGAAATGCAACTTCTGTTTATACTCCTAGTGACAGCTAGCCAAGGTAAACATAAAAAAGAAACATACATGAAATAAAAAATATGATACAAATCATTTAGGCTTTCTAATTTTAGTTCTATCTTTAATGTTCTAGTTCAACTGAAAAAAAAGAGAAAAAAAAGAGTCAACGTAATATGAAATTAGTAAAATTCACACACACATTGTCTTCCACTGTTTTGAGATAAAAAACTAAGAGGTAAGGCAAACCTGGGACTATGAAACGAGTCATAAATTACAAAAATGTAACCATAAACTTAGAATTAACAATGTACTCAACCACCTATAAGAATCAATACTCTTCATTAATTTTTTAGCTTAGACTAATGTCTACTGAATAAATCACATGACCTAATTTACTGTGAGGAATAAGACTGATCCTCCACTCACCGTACTCAGATTGAACTTCCACTGCAAGAGGAGCTTGGGGAACTTTCTTAGCATCTACAGTAAACTGAAGTGGTAGATCAACTCGGCAGTTTTCTGACTCAACACCAGGGCCATAAGCTTGGACCTTAGAAGCATCAAGGTCAAAGGTAACAGGCACCTTGAAGGGACTTCCTGTCGATATCACAATCACAGATACATAATGTTCCGAAGAACCAGAAACATAAAACTTAAAATGTGGTAATGTTACTTCTTACTCAAAGGTTTCTAACTAGAGCTCCATATACCAAATTTTACAACTGCACGCGTCCCTTTAAAACATCGACGTACCAAGTTTCAAAACTGCACGCGTCCCTTTAAAACATCGACGTACCAAGTTTCAAAACTGCACGCGTCCCTTTAAAACATCGACGTACCAAGTTTCAAAACTGCACGCGTCCCTTTAAAACATCGACGTACCAAGTTTCAAAACTGCACGCGTCCCTTTAAAACATCAACGTACCAAGTTTTACAACTGCACGCGTTCTTTTAAAACATCAACATTGACGTACCAAATTTTACAACTGCACGTATTCCTTTAAAACAGCAATGTTGACATATTGAACCATGGAAGAATGCATTCCTTTAAAAAAAATAATAGCGTAATATTCAACTTACACGTCTATGCACTCAACCATTAACTGCTGATAAACAAAATTTTTTTCATGCATATGAACCTGAAGGAACAGGTACAGTGACTTACAAAAGTATTCACCCCCTGCAAAGCTTCCACATTTCATTGCCATCTGAGCTTGCAATCATGAAACTTTCAAATGGGACTTTATAATTAGAATCTACACAATTTTCTCCAAACAGAGAAAACTATAATAATAATAATAATAATAAATAAATAATAATAAAAAAAACATGCAAGTAAGTTAGATTTTCAGAGAAAATTAGAATATTCTCAATTGCGTAAGTATTCAATCCTTTTGCTATAGCAAATCAGTTCAGGTGCAAAAGATTAGTTTGAAAGGTCGCAAAATTAGTGTAATAGTCTCTGTCTGTGTGTAATCAAAGTGGTTTAACTTAACTTCAGAGTAAATGCATCTGTTCAAGCCACAACTCGCATAGTAATACGACAAACCAACCAGGGATAAAGTGGTAGAGAAGCACAGAGCACGAGAAAGTCACAAGAAAATTTCAATGTCGCTGATTATTCCTTTGAGTACGGAGAAGTTAATCCTTAGGAAGTGGAATATGCTTCTTACCACCCAGTCACTACCCAGATCAGGCCACCCTTCCAAACTAAACAGTTGGGCAAGCAGGAAACTGGTTAAGGATGCCACTGTGAAACCAACAGTGACTTTGAAAGATTTGCAAAGTTCCATATCTGAGATGGGAGTCAGTGTTCATACATTGACAATATCCCAGTCCCTTTATAAAGAGTCTGTATGGGCAAGCGGCAAGAAAGAAGCCATTACTAACAAAAGAATCATCTTAAATCTCGAATGGAGTTTGCAACAAAACATGTAAATGATATTGCAGATGTGTGGCAGAAGGTTTTCTGGTTAGACAAGACGTAAATTGAGCTTTTTGGTCTAAATTGAAAGAGTTACATCTAGCGCAAGCCCAACACAGCACATCACCCAATCAACATCATCCCAACTGTCAAGCATGGCGGTGTCAGCATCACGTTGTGGGGCTGCTTCTCATCAGCAGGGACTGTGAAGTTTGTCAGAATTGAGGGAAAGATTGATGGTGCAGAGTACAAATGAATCCTAGAAAAAACCCTGATCGAGTCAGCCAAGAATTTAAAACTGGGTCAAAAATTCACATTTCAGCAGGACAATGACCTGAAGCACAGGGCCAAAGCCACACTGGAGTGGTTTCAAAAGAAGAAAGTGAGTGTCCTGGAGTGGCCCAGTCAAAGTCCTGACTTGAATCCAATAGAAAATTAATGGTGAGACAAAGATTGCAGTCTATCAATGATCACCAACGAACTTGTCAGAATTGAAGCAATTTTGCCAGGAAGAATGGTCAAAAACCACACCATCCAATTGTGCAAAGCTGAAAGAGATCTATCCAAAAATGCTCACAGCAGTAATTGCTGCTAAAGGTGCTTCCATCAAGTACTGACTTAGGGATTTGAATACTTATGTAATCAGCAAATTTCAAATACATTTTATTTCCAGGTTCTGCTGTGTTAAGTTTGATCACTGGAGTTTTGAATTAAAACAAAATGTTTACATTATTTATATTTCATCAGAATGTGACATTATTGGTAGGGGTGAATACTTTTGCAAAGTACTGTATGTAAATATAACCATAAAAAAGATCATAATGTGAACTCTTACCTGGAATTGACTGGTTTGCAAAGTTTATCAGGATATCATAGTCACCAGGTTCTGTAGGAATATATTCAACTGTGCAGGACCCATCTCTATTATCTTGGCAGGTCATTTTGGCTTCCGAGGGCCCTTCAATGGCTAACCCCAGGCCTCCTGTTCCAGCACTCTTTATGTCTACTGTAAACACATTGACCTACAAAAGACAATGAGTTCGGAATGACTAGTGGTCCTTTAATGTTACATTTTCAAAAACGTCTTAGATCTCTAATACATAGAAACTGAATATTTGTATGTCTGAAGCATTCCACAAAGATTATACACACCAAAAGTTAAGAATGCCTACTGGGTATACCTAAAATGAATCAAGGGTTATCAAATGTTTTATCATTAAGCTTTTGTCAGATGAAATTTATTTTAAATATTATTCTATGGAAATTTCTTAAATAAGGGAGTCTACACAAGTACAAGAGTACTGTCTGTTGTGTGCATCCATATAAATATAATAGTACTGTCTGTTGTGTGCATCCATATAAATATAATAGTACTGTCTGTTGTGTGCATCCATATAAATATAATAGTACTGTCTGTTGTGTGCATCCATATAAATATAATAGTACTGTCTGTTGTATGTATCCATATAAATATAATATGACTGTCTGTTGTATGTCCATGTAACTACTTTGCAGGGTGTGGATGGATCTTCACATAATTTGGCATGAAGGTTTGTTGGGTCCATGCAGAGATACATACAAATTTGGGGTTTAACATTGTGTTTTGCAGTTACTTCACCATTTACACAGTTATGGATGGATCTTAACCAAATTTGGTATGGAACTACTTTGGGTCCCAAAGGAGGTAAGTTTGGTTCTTTTGATAAGGTCTTGAAGTCATTTTAGTGCATTTATGAATTAGCAGTTATTTTAAGTGATGTTCAGTACTGTATGCAGTAAAATTGGAAAATGTCAAGAAATGTTTATAACTTTAGCCCAGGAGCTTCTTTTTTAAAGCTATTCAATCTAGAATTTTGTGGAGAACACAGATGGTTTAAATCAACATATTTCTGTCTAAAAATTGTGAAATTACTCTGTTTATTCAAATTTTTCAACCTAAAAGAAACATTCCACCAATTTTTTTTAGCACGTCATCAAATTAACCACTTATAGTTCAACAGAAAAACTGTACCCCCACATCCCCCCCCAAAGATCTCTATTCAGTTGAAATTAACTTCAAAACCTTACTTCCTAAAAATTGTTTGGCCACTACTTTGCCCCCCCTGTTGATGGATCTTCACCAAATTTAGCATGAAGATTTGTTGGCTCAAAGTGGATATACATGTAAATGTGTTTTCACATTTTGTGTTTTGCAGTCTTACGTTTTTTACCATTACATACAAGGGAAGCAACTTTATGTCGTAAGATAACCTTTCATTAGTCAAGAATTTACATGACTTCCATCCAAGGGATGGGTACTCCAGCTAGTGTAATAATATTTTAGTTAGTTTGAAGTAAGTGGTTGTCTAAGATATCTACTAATAAACAATTACACATAATGAAACAGTATAAACACCTTATCAACATAGCCTTTTTCCAACCCAGGTCCGAATGCTCGACACTTTTTATGATCACATCCTTTGGTTACATTGACCTTGAAAGGGCTTCCTGGGACTGGAACTCCATCATAGGATATATCTATGGTGTGGTAACCTGAAGAAATTGAAAGAAAAAGATGAGAAACGTTTTTTTTTTCCCCACAAAAGTTCAATTACGGTGTTACAAAAATGGTAAAAGTTGAACTTATGCTTATTGAAAATATTAAAATAAAACTTGTTACCTAAAAAACTGCTTATTTTGTCTTTAAAACAAGCCTTGCTCTTTCACAGATTACAAGTCAACTTATAAAGAGCTTTCAGTAAAATATTGTTAAAATCATGATTAAAGCACTCAGTATGGATTAATTATATTGCCAATCAAAATTAACTGCAGTATTCTTAAGTTAACCAATTTCAGTATTACAAGAAAAATAAGTTAGAATACTATAAGTTGTCAACAGGGTTTCACAGAATATTTAACATTTGTTTGTTGTAACTGGAATAGTTTAGTTTTTATGTTAATGTATAAAGAGTCTCCTGAAGACTTGTCAATCTTCAGACATTTTGTTAGTATCAGATTTTGGTGTATTACTAAGCATGATGAGTGTTTTCACACATTGTTAAGAATTACTTTAAAGATCAAAGCATTTTCTCAGTAAAGTTACCAACTGATGTTATAAGTGTCAATTACCATATGAATAAAGAATTCATTGCTAAATAAAAAAATAATACAGTAAAATAAAAATATTGATTAAATTTATATACACAAGTTTCAAAAGTTATATACACATGAAAAAGGGTTTAAAAACTTAAGATTTTAAAATCATAAGATACTGAAAAATGAAGTGTATGTGCATACAGATGCATAAATATTTACACACTTTTGTATAGCAGATAATGAGAATTAAAAACTTTCTATTTACTCACTGTAAAGTTCTATTTTTAAAACTGTTAAGAAGTTCAACCTACCTTCTTCTAAAGGTGTGTACGAGATCTTATAAGTACCATCATTAAAGTTTTGCACCAGTGGACTTGTGCGAGCTCCAGAAGGGTTGGTAATGGTGCAGTGAACCTTGGCATCACTGCGTTTGGAAGCAGCTCGAGCATCCACAACAAATTCCGTTGGTGAATCAACAAAAACACCTAAAAACATATAAAATAACGTGGATTGCATCAGGTCACTCCATGAAGTGGTAATGTTCGAATTAAACAAACATGTTGGTATTTTATATTTTGAAAATGAAGAGTGAAAAATAGAATAATAATTATTGTTTGAGTTATTATTATTATTATTATACATCACAAAGTTTTAAAAATTCATAATTCACCTTATTTTTCTTTTCAGGTGCAGTAATAGGTGTACAAGTAAAAAAAATTAACTGACAATTATGTAGTAAGAATCATTTATTGTTTTCAAAATATTTATAAATTTTAAATGAGAAATACATATAAGAAATTAAATTTTAGAATTGTTTATACTGTTTTGCCATTAATATCAATAAAACATTTAAAGGAAACAACATAAACACAATTTACTTACAACAAACATTGCTAAGAGTAAGTTATGTTTATATGATGTCTCCCATGTGAAACAAAACAAGAGAGTTACATTTATGCTTTTATGACAAGTTCAAGTATTTCATTATTACAATCACAAAAATTTAATAGAAATGTTATTAGTCTTGACTATACAAAACACTTAAATAAGGGATTAAAAACAAAGAAAGTCAACTGAGAAACTTGCCACAACAAAATTGAAATTAAATACCGAAAAATCTCTTGCATTGTTGCTTCAAGGGTATTTTAGGTGGTGGAGTGGACATCACATGGTTTTGGTTTTAATGGACTGCTTTAGTCTGTTTGTAGAGTGTAACACGTTTTGGCTTCTACAGTGAAGCCTTCTTTAGAATCTTGACCTAAAGGCCTCGGTGAAAAAGCTTAATTGTCATCTCACTCTAGAAACAGGCACGAGTATTCCATTACAGCCAAACTTGAGTCTTTATTCATGCATTTTTATATTGCTAGCACTTGGTCAATCTGGTATCAATCAATAAAATAGCACACACATACCTTAAAGGTTTTTTGGAAATAAAATGTTCCGACTAACTTAAAAGAAAAAAAAAATCAACAAAAAAATAAATCTTACAGTAGTTCTATAAGGAAGTCATTTGCATTTTCAATGGAAACAGGTGATGGGTTTTAACAGAATTTTTTTTTTAAATTATAAAACTAACAGATATATTGTGATGTAACAATATGAACACAGTTAAAAAGCTTAGAAATCTTAAGTCAAACTTTAAAAAAGTTTTCAATACAACTTTTGAAATAAAAAGAAAATTATAATGTAGTAAACTAACAAACAGTCTACACATACAACACAAGTTGAAGAAATCTAGGCATGCTGAGCAGTACACACACACCAGACAGGTGCCTACCATGAGGCTGTATGCCTAGGCCAGTGACTCTGATGTTCCGGACAAACAGATCCGACGTGACGAAGACATCAAATGGAGATCCAGGAATGTGATGACCATTAAATGTGATGTTTACAGAATAGTGGCCAATTTCTGTGGGAAAGTAGGCCACAGAGCAAGTGCCATCACCATTATCTCTACACTTGATGACAGTTTCGCAGGGTCCTTCTACAGTCACTCCCAGGTTTCCCTGACGTGCACCTCTAGTATCAATCATGAATTCTGCAGCTCTGTTTCTATAACCACGTGATAGACCTGGACCGTACGCTTTAACTTTACGGTAATCATTAGCATCTACCATGAGGAAAGGTACGGTGTAGATTGGAGTTCCACTGAAAGAGATGGACAACATGTGCTCTCCAACCTCTGTGGGCAAGAAGTTCACTAAAAATCCTTCAGCTGTTGGAATGATGTGAGCTTGGATCTTCCATCCTGATGGGCTGGTAATGCTGATGGAGAAGTCAGCATGGCAGCCACCAGCCTCTTTGGTAATAACTCTGAACTGCTGCAGGGAGTTTATCGGAGCAGCTGATTGGACGAAAGTAGACAGGGCAGCCTATTCAGCCTGCCTAAGTTCTTATGCTGCTGTTTAGATATTAGGTTCAGACAGATCTAATCTACAGTTAGTAAATTAATAACCTGCACAATAAACATGCCATATGGCAAACTCAAAACCAAGATTCTGAAAAAATTAATAAATGAGAATGCTATTTGGTCAAAACAAATGTCATGATGGATCTAGTTCACAACCAGAAAAACAAAAATAGAAGTCAATAGTTGGTTAGGTAAACACTCGGTCAATAACCAGGAGATGTTTGTTCTGATCATTAACATTATAAACAATCTAATTCACATTAATAACATGGGCAAACTGTCCGATCATAGCAAGGAGATAAAGATGTAGTGCACAACTAATAAATCATTAAACAGCAAGAGAAAGATAATGTTTGAATAGACCTATATGGACAAACCTAAAAGTTACTATAAAAGTTACTACTAGCATTCTGCAGTACAAACATTCTTGTTAGACCAATTACAGAACATGATATCTATGCTGTTTGTTCTCATTAGATACGAACAAAGCTACAAGCTATTTTAACATACATACAAATTCTGGTAAAAGATCAGTTTCTAAGTTAGTAGCGAACAAGGCAAGCTATGTAAAAAGTCACCAGGATTAAAGTACACTATTAAATATTGTTTACAGTTCAAAAAAAAAGACAAAGATCGGCAGAAAAGGTGAAAAAGTCAAAGTTATGGAATTGATTAAACAAGTGTTAGAATAAAATTATCTGCAGCTCAATACATTAAGACATTATTAAAATAGTTACGTATGCTAGAATAGAATAAAAAGAAGTACGCTGATAGGAAAGACAAGAAACCTGGTCAATGCAACTGAACAATTATTTTGTATAATTAAATATGATTCATTTAGACATTTATATTATTTTGTTACAGTCATTTCATTACATTGGTTCAGCTGAACAAGGTATATACTATTAGGGCTTATTTCTAAAAGCCTTACATTGGTTTTTCCTATTAATAGTTTTCAGTTCGTAAAGTAAATGATGAAACATGACATTTTATAACTGTTACCAATGCATCTTTTAAAATTACGTCATCACATGTCTTTAAATATAGGTGATAATCAAAGGTTATGATAATTAACTGTTAGTACAAACGAGCTATCTTGTAATAAAATCAATGATACTGATAACTCGCACACACTGTTCATGCTACAATGTCAGTATTTCACAATATTCACATTTTCAAGTACCATTAATACATTATCAATACACTCGCATATCAGTGCATCATTAAATAGCAGAGAAACCTTAACTTTTTAGCAATGAAATTAGCAACTTCATTGTTCAAGCATCTTCTCACTGCATGTTAACACACAATTCATACACACATAGCCTATGGATATCAGCCTAGAATGTTGTTAATGTACAACGTTTCTAGCCACAACAAAACAAAATGATACAACTAAAATTATTATTAATCATTGAATTAATTGAAAATTATCACTCATAATATAATTCATGTAGTTTAAGTACACCAGTGTGCATCTATAAATTATTCCTTACTAAATGTACAGGCTGCATACAAAAAACTTCAGTCAATAAAAGTTTATCATCCAAGTTGTGTCAGTAAAACTGCACTAATCATGCTTCCTTGTACATTAAAATAACAGTAATAAAACTGCCCAGTTTCAAACTAGTGCAACTTTAATGGTCACATAAATATTGTTCATTCACAGTTACACATTTTATACATCACTCAAACACAAACAAATCTTCAAGTTACTGTTAAGAGTCTTGTAATAGTAACTATATAGCAATATGCAAATACAGGCAGTACTAAAGAAATTTCCATTATTCACAAAACATTCTTCTCTACAAATTGACTTCTAAACAAACATTTTTGTTTTTACAGAACATCTCTTATCACAGTCATTAATACTAAAAAAAAAACTTTCTTAATTTTATGCAATACATCCATCATTGAGATATTATATGCACATATTATCAAACATGATATAAAATCATTTTTTTTTTAACATTATTGATTGAAAAAAATGTTGTAATGCTATTTTAAAACTAAGATTATTGTACCGAAGGAAAAAAAAATCAATGCAAATAACAACAAGATAAGAATTATCATTATAGTTCTAACAAAACTCAATCTGATATATGCATAGTCAACACTATTTTATCACTCTCGCAAACAGTAAAACCTCCCAATGTTTATTTGTGGAGTATTATACTCTAGGTTGTTTAGATACTGGTTACATTACACCACTTCTACATCATGGTATAAGTTTACAAGTGTTTCAGGAATTATCTTCTTTATAATTATAAAAAATAAAAATCAAACAATATTTATTTTATGTAAGTACAATAACAACACATGTACAAAGCTTTTGTTCTAGATAAAAAATAAATAGTTGTTTATTACTCACAAATTTGCAACAAAAATCATCAAAATATATTAAAATTGTACAAACACCATAAGAAAATTAAGGGGAATTGTACCCATTGTAGAACATTGGGAAGTGTATTATCTCAGAAAGATAAACACAGTGATAGCATATATTGGGAATATCCAATTTCTTTAATTATCTCTTAAATGAAGGGATAAAACTAGTCACGAAAATTAGCTGAACAAGGAGTAAAGCTTATGAACTTAAAATCATAATTTCCTCGATTTAGACCACCATTTGCCTTCAGTGGCTTCGACCAACAATCACCCACAGACAGACCAACACCATTCCCCCCTTGTTTTTAGTGTATTGTGAAAATATAAAGTAAATCCATGGTATATGTTGCCAAATGTTTTGTACATTTATTGATGATGACAGTTATTTATTTTCTAGTTTTGTATTTGTATAAATAACACTGACAATAAAAGTTGGCTCGTATTTATGAATAAAAAGGCATATTATCAAATAATGTGCGTTACAAATATAACAAATCAAATACCAGAATGTGTATTTACCAAGGCTAATAAGAAAAATCAAACATGTTTTATTCTCAAATGACTATAGTACAGAAAATCAAAACAATACAACTTACTTGGCTCTAGACCATCAACCTTCACTTTACTAACATCTACTTTTGGTTTGACATGTACATAGAGTGGGCTACCTGGCACCTCCTTTCCAGCAAATAGCACCACTACCTGATGGAGAAACAAGGTATTAGAATTCCTGTGTCTGCAAAACCTCATATAAACAAGTTCAATCTTATATGTGGTTTGATTTTAACAATGAAAAAAAAAAAGTTACATTTGTGAAAATTTTTTTAAAAATGACACATTGGTTAAAATTCAGAGTCTTCTTAAGATGTGATTACTGCATAAAAAAGATTCATATCCATAACACACATTTCTATGTTTCTCTTCACGAAATGAATGTTTGGACTGGGTTTGTACAAACACGTGCCAAGTCATTTTATGGAACTTAGATTTCATAAACACTAATAATCAAATCTACATTTGATTCAGACTTGGGTTTTTTCACACTTCATAACTATGTTGATTAAGCTTTACTTGTCAAATCATTTCTTAAATATTACTTCCAATTTTTAAGTCTGACATTCAGAACTGTTCAGTTCCTCAACTAAAAGGAAAGTATGATCAACTATAATGACAAAAATATGTATGAAGTTTACTAGTTCAATCATGGTGGTAATTTAAATGAGTGGATCAAAAGGGCACCGATCATACATCACTCCCACTTCTGAAAATAAACTTGCACATCTAACTTAATAACTACTCAGAACAAAAAAAAATCATGTTGAGATGTACCACTGCTGATAAAGATAAAAGGTGTGTGTGTGTGTGTGTGTGTGTGTGTGTGTGTGTGTGTGTGTGTGTGTGTGTGTGTGTGTGTGTGTG